GACGACCACGACGACAACGACGACGACGACGGCTTCGACGACGACAGCCGCGGCTCAGCCGACGACCGCGAAAACGATCGAGCCGCCGCTCGCTCCCTCCGATACCGCGGATCTATGCGCCTTGAAGCGCGTAGACGGAGCGCTAATCATGAATCGTCGCCTGTACGTCGCGCGTAAATGCAACGTGTGGCCCGTCGATATGAGGGAGAGACGCTACGGAGTGCCCTTCTCGTTCGCCGACTACTTTAAGTTCCTCCCCCGCAATCTCACTCGCGTATCGGCCGTGTATCAGAGACCGTCGGGCGATATCGCGATATTCGCCGGCGACTACGTCTACCTCGCCGATTCGAATTTTCATCTTAAAGCGGGATGGCCTAGATCCGTCGAATACGTCGGATTTCCCCGCGACGCTAGGATAAACGCCGCGATAAACACGCACGCCGGGCGCAGCTATGTCATATACAACGACGATAAAATAGCCGAGATAAACGACTGCGCGATGACCGTCGCGAGACACGGCGCTCTGCGGGATACGTTTTCCGGGATACCACCCGCGATAACGGCCGCCTTCCGCCACGTCGACAGTAATCTCTATTTTTTGAAGAAACGCGACTATTACGCGTACAGCGAGTTTCTAGACGCGATAATCGCAGCTGGTCCTTTCGATCTTAGCATACTGGGAATAGAATGCCCAGCCGATGGCATTCTGCGTCGATTGAGCGAACTCGTCTCCAAGCTGTATCGTCTGGAATACGCGTCCTTCGAAAGACCGCGCAACGACGATGACGACGACGACTAAGATCAGGAAATCCTGAAACCTAACGTTAAGATTACATTTAATATGCTGTTCTAAACCGCTGTTCTAAACCGCTTCTGCTGCATTAATTAACGTGCGCGCGTCGAGAATAAAGATATCGAGACGAGATCGCGTCGTATATAAGGCGCGTCTCGATCGTCGCGCGACATTTCCGACGATACTCGCGATTAACGCGCGTACGATTCTAAGCGGGCGTCTCCGACGAATTTCTCTCTCTCCTCGCGACGACCAACGTTAACGACGCCGTCGCCACCGCAGTGTTTTCCTATGAACATTGAAGACCTGTTCGCGAGACCGATCATGTTCGCCGGACTCGGACAGGAGTACCGCAGAGTGTTCGGGGACTCGTCCGCGACGCCCGCGACGCCCGCGACTCCGTCGGCGCCGCCGATGACGGGCCCCTTCGTCGCTCCGCCTAATCGTCGAGACAATTACGCGGCTTCCGCCAAGAACGAGGATACCACCCGCGATTGTTCGGACACTCCGCCCGTGATCAAGAAAGCTCGACTGTACACCGAGGACGAGTGAGTACGCGCGAGTTACCTCGCCCGAGCGCTCTCGATCTCCGCCTCGATCGGCTATTTTCGCATAATAACGTCGTCTTTTTTTTTTTCTCTACGATCTCGACAGATGGAATAGAAACTGCTGTTCAAACGCGAGATCAATTTCGCGAGACATCCGATTCGAACACTAGGAAGACGATATCCTCTGACCAAGACGGCGTACAAATATATCGACATCGCCGTAGCCGTGAAACGCGAATCTTGAGTCGACATCGTCCTAGGAGACTGCCATGGAAAGGAGATATCTCTGACGCCCGACATGTGGAAGGATCTGCTCGCTCTACGCAACGATATACTGCCGTATTTCGAGAACGATTTGGACGAGGCTGTTGCGCGCCCTCCGACGTCCATAATCGTCGGAACCGTGACGCTTCGATTCGGCAAGATAAACAATCTGAAGACGCTGCAATTCGAGACGCCGAAGAATCGCATCGCTCTGTCGCAATCCACCGTGAAGGCACTGTTCGTTCTCGAGCTGTGCGTCAATCGCATCGTCGCGTCGTTGACCGGCGTACTCGAGACCGTAGACGCCAAGTTATCGCGTTTTCTAGATATCGCGACGGAGACCGACCACCCCGGCGATATTCCGGAAGCGATTCGTCAGCACGAGCACTTCAACGCGAACGATCTGATCGACTGCGAGTTGCACGCTCTGCTATTCGGACTCTATCACAATTTGTAAGGCGAAACGATCGCGAGTACCGATATTATTCTCGACGTACATATGTATCTACGCATGTAACTTCGTGACATAATAAATAAATAAATAAATAACTAAATAAATAAATTGTACACGTAATTTATTCTCTCTCTTTCTCCTAGATTTACGTCACCCTCGTCTCTCCTTCGCGACGAATTCCCTCCTCCTCCTCGAAATAAATCTAATATACATCGTACATTATACATCGTATAAAATAATATTTTATATAAAATCGTACGTTATATAAATCGTACGTCATATCTCTTCCAGGCCTGCGTCGAACGCATCCGCTCCGCTCTATTATTAACGTCGATCTTATCTCTGTCTCGCGCCCGACGGGGCGATCGCCGCTTATCGCGCGCGTCTAGCGCGCCGCGTCCAGAGACGCTCCGACGCGCCGTATCCAGGGACGCGCACGCGCGCTCTCTCTCCCTCTCCCTCGCTCTCTCTTGCCCTCTCCCTCGCTCTCGCGCCCGCTCCCCTCGCCCCGCCGCTCCCTCGTCCTCCCCTCCGCGTGACGTCACGACCCACGGTCTCCTCCCTCTCGCCCCGCCACCCCCTCGCCCTCCCCCTCCGCGTGACGTCACGACCCTCCGTTTACCCACCCGACGGCGAGCGGCTCCCCTCGCCCTACCTACCCCCCCTGCTCACCCGCGCCGACGTCACCTTGCCCCTCGGATATCTTTCTATCTCTCTCGCTCTACGAAACCTCTCTCTCGCACCCGTACAAAAAGTGAGTTAGAACCGACCTATTCTCCCTACTAATTGCCATCCGGTATTTTTAGTACGTACAATGTTTGTGTAATGTCCATAAATATAATTTTGTTTTATGTATGAAAAATCAATGAAAAAATTTTAGGTGTTAGATTTAATTGAAATAAGACATGCTGCAATTCTGTCATTGTATTTCTATTTTAAACAAAATGAAATTTAAATTGAAATTTAATCATTATTAATATAAGTTTGCTGCTTATCCTAATAAGTATTATTTTATAAGGCAGCATCAACATATATAATCCATCCTCCCACAACTTATAAAATATATTTCCAGTTTTACAAATATGTTATTTCTTTCCTACTTCCATGCAATATCTAAACCTTATTCTTACAAGTAATCTATTCATACAAGTTATCGTTACGTAGAAAAAGATTATCTATGCACATAATTATATATAAGTATGTATATCCATAATTCTATAGTTCTATAGTACATAATTATTGTATACATATATATACATATGTGTGCGTGTGTGTAGAAATTTATATATTTGACTGCGCAACCATAATTATAGTTACATAAACATTTATTACATTTACCTTTGTAGACACAAATATAGTTACACAGAAATATTCCCTACATGTATAATGATAATTATATGTGTGTGTGTGTGTGTGTGTGTGTGTAGAAATGTGTAGAAATTTTCATATTTGACTGCGCAACCATAATTATAATTACATAGACATTTATTACATTTGCCTGCGTAGACACAAATATAGTTACGCAGAAATATTCCCTACATGTATAATGATAATCATTTATATATATATATATATATATATATATATATAATATATATGTATAATGATAATCATTTATATATATATATATATATATATATATATAAATGATTATATGTATATATATCAAAGCTGCCAGATCTCCGCCGCAAGCAACATGCAACACGGCGTGGAGGGGGTAATGAGGATGTAAGCGTAAGCATAGACTTAGGAAACTATAGACGGAGCGTAAACTTGTAACGGTACGGCCTATCCCGTGCGCCACGGACTGGCTCGCCGGTGCCAAGATTCGGGAGTAGATAGGAGAGTCAAGCGTACGAATCCTCTTTGATAATCAACAGGTCTTTATTGGTAGATAGTATCCAGATTAACTTAACCTACGCAGAGCTTATACCTAACTTATTCTATGTTGTGATTATAACTAACTATTACGCAAGCTTAGCCTACGACGGTGCGCTAGTACTTATTCTTCTAACTTAACCTACGGACGATTACGGTAACCTTAGCCTAGACGGTCGGTCGCGGTTTCGGTCGGCGAGCGGGTCGCGATTGCGGAGGGCGGCGGTGCGCGGAGGCCGAGTGCCGGGCAAACCCAGGCTGCGGAGAGGTCAGACCCGTCTCCGTCGGCGTGCACGGTCAGGAAGCCGAGTGCCGGGCAAACCCGGGCTGCGGAGAGGTCAGACCCGTCTCCGTCGGCGTGCGCGGTCAGGAGGCCGAGTGCCGGGCAAACCCAGGCGGCGGAGAGGGCAAACCCGTCTCCGTCGGCGTGCACGGTCAGGAAGCCGAATGCCGGGCAAACCCAGGCGGCAGAGAGGTCACACTCGTCTCCGTCGGCGGGAACGGTCAGGAAGCCGAATGCCGGGCAAACCCAGGCGGCGGAGAGGTCACACCTGTCTCCGTCGGCGGGAACGGTCAGGAAGCCGAATGCCGGGCAAACCCAGGCGGCGGAGAGGTCACACCCGTCTCCGTCGGCGGGAACGGTCAGGAAGCCGAATGCCGGGCAAACCCAGGCGGCGGAGAGGTCACTCCCGTCTCCGTCGGCAAGAGCGGTCAGGATTAAAGATGTCTCGGGTATTCCCAGAGGTTCAGAACTGGTCGGAAGCTGGAAAGGAATAAGGGTGTCGGTCTGTTGCGCGAGCCGGCTTTTATACGGCTCGAGAGCCCCCCACGCTCGCGTGCGTCAAGGAGGGAGTAGGACTCGGTGGGGAAACATAGGCGGGATCGCAGGTGGGCGCCAGAGGCGTCGAGTAAGGACTTTACTCGAGAAATTACTATAGTTAACTCTTTATTTTATGAACATAGGAACCGTATAAACAATATGAAGTGAACAAGAAACAAATGAACAATAACTATATACATATATATACAGTGACGACGACGGTGTCGTCACATCACCCCGCGCTCAGGGGGGCCCATCTAGACGCCGGGCCGCTCGGGGGCGGCCGTCTGGGTGGAACCTGATCACCCATCGGCCCGACGCGGTGCGGACCTTATATCTCCGCCCGATGATAGCCGATCCGGCGGGGACCTCGACTACGGTGCCGTCGCCCAAGCGGACGGGAATGGTCCCGGCAATAGGTGGCCTGGCGGTCTGCGGTCGGGTGGCGGGCGGTCCGGCGGGCGTGGATGGTCCGGTGGTTGCAGGCCGGGCGGTGGGCGATCCGACGGTCGCAGGTCGGATGATCGCTGGGCCGGCGGTCGTGGGCCGGGTAGTCGGCGGGCCGGGTTTCGCAGGCCGGGCGGTAGGTGGTCCGACGGTCGCAGGCCGGGCAGTACACGGCTCGGTGTTTGTTGGCCGGGGCATGGGAGCCCTGGTGGCGGTGTGCGCTTCGGTGTTCGGGGGCCTGGCTGTCGAGGCCTTGCTGGTCCTGGCAGCTGGTGGACGGCTGATAGCCGACCGGGGGTCGGCTAGGGCGGCGATCCTTCCGCGGCGGCGCGGCTTGATCTCCGGCGGCGTCGTTAGGATGATCGCCTTCCGCCGGTTTGCCTGGTCGGATCGCTGGATGGATGTCCCGGGCCGCGGCGGTCGTCGGGATCGTCCCGGGCTCGGGGTCGCTGGAGGCGGCTTGGCAGGCGTTGGCGGCGTCGTGGTCGGCGTGGGCCCGTTGGTGTCGGATTCGGAGCTGGAGCTGATTTCTCCAAAGAGATCGAAAACGTTGCGTCGGTCCATCGTGACTGTTACTCCGTGCAGGATCGCACGGTCTTATATACCCGCTGCGCTGCTCCTGGAGGGGATTTGTTCGCGGAATTTCCGATGGCTCGGGGTGTCTCGTGGTTCCAGGGGAAGTAGCGGAGTCCGGTCGCAGGTCGGGTAGTTGCTGCGCCGGCGGTCGTAGGCCGGGCAGTATGTGATCCGGCGTTCGTAGGCCGGGCAGTAGTTGGACCGGCGGTCGTAGGTCGGGTAGTAGCTGGACCGGCGGTCGTAGGTCGGGCAGTAGCTGGACCGGCGTTCGTAGGTCGGGCAGTAGCTGGACCGGCGGTCGTAGGTCGGGCAGTAGCTGGACCGGCGGTCGTAGGTCGGGCAGTAGCTGGACCGGCGGTCGTAGGTCGGACAGTAGCTGGACCGGCGGTCGTAGGTCGAGCAATAGGCGGTCCGCCATCCGCAGGTCGGGCAGTAGAGGGCCCGTGGCTCTAAGGAAAATTCCCTAGCAACGGAGTTCGTCCGAATGCTCCAAGGTGGCGGTACTTCGGCGTGGTCGGTAACTTTTGCCGGATTATGCGTCATCCTCGTCCACCCGAGGACTTTCTGGTATGTTCGGTTGCGGTTTCAGGTCCTGTACGTGGATATGCCGATGCCATTTCCCGTGTTCGTCGCGTAGATCCACGATGACTGAGGATATTATCCTGCGTACTTCCATGGGCCCCGAAAATCGAGGAGCGAGTTTGGCGTTAAACGCGTCGTCGCGGCTGGACAGGGGGCGTTCTCGCTTCCAAACCTTGTCGCCCACCCGGGGGCGCCAGTCGCGTCGCCTCATGTTATAATGGCGCTCCTGTTTTTGAAAGGCTCGGGCTAGGTGCACCCTGGCGACCTCATAGGCCTCTTCCAGGCGTTGTCGATGCGACTCCGGGGAAGTCGAGTTCGGCGTTGGTTGTCGCTCGGCAGGATGGGGAGGTGCCAGTTCGCGGCCGTGGAGCAGAAAGGCCGGGGTGTATCCGGTGGCCTCGTGTCGGGCGGTGTTCACCGCGAACTGCAACGCGTCGATGTGCTCGTCCCAATCCCGATGCCGGTTGCCTACGTATTGACTAATCATGGTCTTGATGGTCCGATTCGCCCTCTCCACCGGGTTGCAATGCGGCGCGTAGACAGGTGACGTGCGGTGCTGGATCCCGAATGACACCAGCAAGGTACGGAACTGGCGGGAGGTGAACTGGGTCCCGTTGTCCGAGATGAGTTGGCCCGGGCATCCATGCCGGTAGATGATGCGGCGGGTCACTTCTTTCGCCAGTGCCTTGTCGGTGGCGCGTCGCAGGGGAACCATCTCGACCCATTTGCTGAACCGGTCCTGGGCGGTCAGGAGCCAGACATGTCCACGGACCGAGCGTGGCAGAGGACCGACTAGATCCACTGAGACTTGCTGCCACGGGGCGGTTACTGGGGTAGCGTGTAGGTTCCCGGCTGGTCGTTGTTGCGGCACCTTGTGGGCTAGGCAGCTCGGAAGCTCCGAACGTACCGGGCTGTCTCCCGGAACATCCCCGGCCAGTGGTACAACCGGGCGAGTCGGGCGATGGTCTTAGCCACTCCTAGATGCCCTGCGGTTGGGTCGTCGTGTAGCCAGCGTAGAATGTCGAGCCGCTGTTCCCGAGGGACGCATTGTTTCCATTGCTCGGTGGAGGGTACCTCGCTAAAATCCAGGTCGTGTAGCACATGTCGAAACAGTTGGCCATCACGTATTTCGTAATCGGGGTACTCGTCTGGTCGGCTCTTTACTTCTCTAAGGAGGCGTTGGTACCATGGACACGCTATCCGGTGTTGCATTGCGTTGAGCTGCGGCTCCCGGGAGAGGGCATCGGCTACTTGATTTTGTCCTCCTCTTCTATAGTGTATGGTGAAGTCGAACTGTTGCAGTTCGAAGAGCCACCGTCCCAAGCGTCCGGATGGGTTTTCCAGATGTTGCAACCACTTGAGGGACTGGTGGTCTGTTACGACGGTGAATCGATACCCCTCCAAGTAGTCTCGCATTCGCCGGATTCCCCATACCACGGCGAGACATTCCAACTCGGTCGCACTGTAGTTCCGTTCGGCACTGTTGAGCGTTCGGCTGGCGTATGCGATTACTCGCTCTCCCTCCGTCTGGTGCTGCGTTAGCACGGCTCCTAGCCCATGTGAACTAGCATCGGTTTGTAGCAGGAACGGTTTCTGGAAGTCCGGGCAGGCCAGAACCAATGTGGAGGTCAATGCGTCTTTCAGTTGTTGAAAGGCCGCGTCTTCGGGGGTCCCCCATGTCCAGCCAGTTCGTTTTTTGGTCAGCGCTGTAAGCGGTGCCGCTAGTGTCGAAAAATCGGGATGAACCTCCGATACCACGAGGCCATTCCTAAAAATTGCCGGACCTTGCACACGGTGGTGGGAGCTGGCCAACTGGTGATGGCGCTGACTTTGTCTGGGTCCGTGTGTATCCCTTGTCGATCAATTACATGTCCTAGGTAACGGAGGCTCGGACGGCAGAAGTGGCATTTATCCGGGTTTAAGCGTAGCTTTTCTTTACGTAGTCGCCGGAATACCTCTCTCAAGTGCTGCAGGTGTTCGCTGAATGTCTTGCTGGCGATTATTATATCGTCCAAGTATACTAGGACGTTAGGTTCGAGGTCGGGGCCGATCACTGCGTCTAGCAACCGCTGGAAGGTCGCTGGGGCTGAGTGCAACCCGAAAGGCATGACCGTGAATTGGTACAAACCTTTCCCTGGTACGGTGAAGGCGGTTGCAGGTCGACTCTCTTGGTTCAGTGGTATCTGCCAGTAACCGCTCTTTAGGTCTAACGTTGTCAGGTATTTCGCCCCGCGTAACTTGTCGAGCGTAGCCGTGATGTGCGGCAAGGGATAGGCGTCTTTATCTGACATTGCATTCAGCCTGCGGAAATCGATGCAGAATCTATACTGCCCATCTTTCTTTCGAACTATGACGACCGGTGAGCTCCAAGCGCTGTTCGAGGGCTCGATGACGCCTTCGGCGAGCATTCGGTCGACCTCCTCATTGATGACGGCCTGCATGGCCGGGTTTCGAGGTCGGTACCGCTGTTTGATGGGCGGTCCAGGCTTTAGCCGGATGCGATGTTCGGTTCGGTCGGTTCGTCCCGTGATTACTTCAAACAATGGTAACTCGGCGGCTAGAAAGTTCCGGAGTTGCGCTTCTTCGTTTGCTTCGTTGTTTGGTCCGACGGTGATCGTGTTGGTCCGGGAAACCGTCCCGGTCTGGTTCAACGGAGGTGGCGGCAAAGTGAATCCCATCTTAGCCCATAGGTCGGTACCAATCAGCACAGCGCTAGCTAGCCCAGGGAGTATGCAGAAGTCGTGCCAATAGGTTCTCCCATGCCATCGGAGGGGCAGGCGCAATACCCCAGTGACCTCTACCCGTGTGTTATCGGCCAGGAGGACGTAGTCTCCTCGGTTCTGGGCTAGTCGGGGTATTCCGGGGAACAGTCGTGCAGTCTCTTCCTGTATGCACGAGACTTCAGATCCGGGGTCTATGAGAGCCGCGAACGGTTGTCGCCGGATGTGCACTTGGAGGTGCGGGCGCGGACGGTATTCTATTCGAGGCTGGGCTGGGAGACGGCCGCTACGCCCCGGCCCGTTGGGCGTTTCCCGTCGGCGGGTGACAGTCGCGAGTCAGGACACCATCCTTGCCGCATCGCGAGCAGAATTTTCTTGGTGGCCGCTTACAATCCACTCGAGTGTGGCCTCGCTGCTTACATCTCCAGCAGCATTCCTCCCGGTTGTAGGTGACGGCGGCTACTGATGGTTTGGCGGTCGCTGGAGTTCGATCCTGTCGACGGTGGTTGACTTCCTCAATCTTAGATATCCGGGTTCGGAGTTCACTCATGGTAAGCTGATCAGTGAGCGGAACATAGAGTTGGTGCTCGGGATTCATGTTCTCGTAGATTTGCTCCAGCTGTTCTCGCTCGGAGTATCCCCCAGCTCGGCGCATCATGGTGAGAAGCGTATTGGAGTATTCGCAAAACGACTCCCCCGGCTTTTGGGAGCGTCCGTTGACGTCTCGTTTTAGTCGCCTCAGGTATCCCGGCGGTAGGTAATAATCCCGGAACTGTTCGCAGAAACTGGCCCAAGTTCCTCAGGTATCGTGGTGGTTTCGATACCACAAGAGGGCGTCCCCTTTTAGTAATTCCGGTAGGCCCAAGAGTAAGTGGTCTTCTTCGAGGCCATAACTGATTCTTAGCTCTTCAACTCTCTCTAGGAATGAGAGCGGGTCCACTCCTTCGAAACGGTGGCCCCATTTCCAGATCTGGTTGATGATCTCGATGCGTTCCGTTGGACTCAAGGTGGGCATGGTTGTGGTTTCTCCTGGTACGTCACCGCTATTGTTCCTCGGGTTGTCGGACGGGTGGGCAGCGAAGTACAGGCGCAATCGGCGTCTCAGCAGGTCCACCTGGCCTGTGGTATCCACTTCGAACCGGTGGAGATATTCTACAAGCTGTTCTTTGGAAAGGTTATTAATCCACGCAGTCATGAGGCTTTTCGCTAGCTGGACTCTCCTTAAACGGTTCGGGCGCCATGTAACGGTACGGCCTATCCCGTGCGCCACGGACTGGCTCGCCGGTGCCAAGATTCGGGAGTAGATAGGAGAGTCAAGCGTACGAATCCTCTTTGATAATCAACAGGTCTTTATTGGTAGATAGTATCGATATTAACTTAACCTACGCAGAGCTTATACCTAACTTATTCTATGCTGTGATTATAACTAACTATTACGCAAGCTTAGCCTACGACGGTGCGCTAGTACTTATTCTTCTAACTTAACCTACGGACGATTACGGTAACCTTAGCCTAGACGGTCGGTCGCGGTTTCGGTCGGCGAGCGGGTCGCGATTGCGGAGGGCGGCGGTGCGCGGAGGCCGAGTGCCGGGCAAACCCAGGCTGCGGAGAGGTCAGACCCGTCTCCGTCGGCGTGCACGGACAGGAAGCCGAGTGCCGGGCAAACCCGGGCTGCGGAGAGGTCAGACCCGTCTCCGTCGGCGTGCGCGGTCAGGAGGCCGAGTGCCGGGCAAACCCAGGCGGCGGAGAGGGCAAACCCGTCTCCGTCGGCGTGCACGGTCAGGAAGCCGAATGCCGGGCAAACCCAGGCGGCAGAGAGGTCACACTCGTCTCCGTCGGCGGGAACGGTCAGGAAGCCGAATGCCGGGCAAACCCAGGCGGCGGAGAGGTCACTCCCGTCTCCGTCGGCAAGAGCGGTCAGGATTAAAGATGTCTCGGGTATTCCCAGAGGTTCAGAACTGGTCGGAAGCTGGAAAGGAATAAGGGTGTCGGTCTGTTGCGCGAGCTGGCTTTTATACGGCTCGAGAGCCCCCCACGCTCGCGTGCGTCAAGGAGGGAGTAGGACTCGGTGGGGAAACAGGCGGGATCGCAGGTGGGCGCCAGAGGCGTCGAGTAAGGAATTTACTCGAGAAATTACTATAGTTAACTCTTTATTTTATGAACATAGGAACCGTATAAACAATATGAACTGAACAAGAAACAAATGAACAATAACTATATACATATATATACAGTGACGACGACGGTGTCGTCACAAACTGTTACTTTAGGCAAGGGGGGTAGTGATAATCGGAAGGGGAAATAACAGGCAACTTCGACAAACTTCGATTGACTCGGAAACGTTCGGCTCACATACATACTAAATCTACATACGCGCATGAAAAGTGAAGCCTTTAGCTGTGAACCTGTAATAAGCTGTCGTATTTTTTTATAAAATGAATTATTGTGTTGTGTCCGGTTGTAAAAATCGGAAATATAAAAAAAATGCTGAGCAAGAAGAGAAAGAATTATTAAATCATTCGTTTGCGTTTCATTCGTAAGTATATACATTATTGTTGAGGTTATGTGTATATGAAACTCATATGATTTTAATAATTGAATTATTTGTTTAGATTTCCGCAGAATAATGAAAAGCGACAGAAATGGCTAGAAGTGTTACATTTAAATAATTCACCAAAATGGGGTGCTATATGTTCTGCCCATTTTAAGGAAACGGATTATGAAACAAATAATATGCGTCGAAGGCTTAAAGCAAATGCTGTTCCATTTGTAAATAATTGAAAAAAATTATATGTATATATACCCAAATAGCACAACATATCCTTAAGATATCTAGAGGATATCCCGAGTTTGTTTTTAACAAGATCTTCTGTATATCCTTTAGATATATTCTGAACATGTGTGCTGTATGGCTATATTATATATACATATAAATGCGAATAAACTTATCTCTACTTAATGATGTATTCACATATCGATCTATTTTAATCTATTATTTTCTGTATAGTTATCTGAAGAGTATTCTTGCAAACTCGTATTAGACAGAAAACTCATTAGTGAGGAAAATGTACAAAATGTACAAAATGATGGAACTAGTAAGTATTGAAATTTATTATATAAAATCTACAGACATACATGTTAATTTAATAAATATAAGAAATAAAGGGCCACTAATATATCCATCACGAGATCTTGTGTATATATGTAAAATAACAGAAAATGCAATTAATAATTTTATACACAAAAATAAAACTTTAACACACTTCAACATGGATAATTTTACATCTAGAGTAATGCAAGAATTTGCAGATAGTAATATATTTGCCAAATTAAGGGAACATATTAATGATCAAGATTTTTTTAATAATCATAGAAATAATTTATTACGTGGTACGATTATGTTATATTCGAAAACAAAACTGACACATTATGTTAAAACGAAGCGTTTAGGCGAAAGACATAAATATAATAAACTTATATTATTTAAAGGACAATAAAACATGTTTTTGCAAGAAACTATATATTTTTCTAATTCCTTTCATTGCATTTGCGTTACTATAATTAACATTTTTTAGTTCATTTTATTATATATATTATACCTTTCTCTAAATATTATTCTAAAAAGCATAAAATATAAACTATTTTAATGTAGAAATATTAATAATACTAGTGCGAACATTTATCATAGGTTCTCAATTTCGTCTTCTTATTGTAATATCGTGTAATTATATAATGTTCTGATTCTAAACTTTTAAAGTTTTCAAATTATTCCTATTTCACTTTATAACAAAATAAAAAACAAGTCCTGTACTTTTTTTGTACATTAAAGTATATATTTTATAATTAATTTCTTAAAAAATTTTTATACATATTGTTCAAAATTAAAATGAACATGCGAGATCAAAAAACGCATATCGAAGTTCGCATCCTTTCGCTAATAAATTACGAGAATTTAAAATTAACGGGCGTCGAGAATCTTTTTCGAAATATCTGTTATTAGAAAAAAACTCGAACGCTCGAGTTTTCTCGCTTTTTTGCCACCAGAAAAAACGCTCGTTATTACCGCTGACAATATTATTGTCAACCGCCGTTGAAATTTACGCCGCTCATGGGCATGCGCGCCCATGCGTCACGATCAGCTGATCGCCAATCAGCTGATCTAAAAGGATTGCGCGCACAAAAAACAAACGACATCCATCGTGAGACGTCATTAACGACCAATGGCACACGCCGCAACAGTGTCACCGCTAAATTATGAAATTAATTGGTCCACGTCGAAGCGGGCCCAAAAATCCGCTCGCTTTATAATGGGCACCGCGCGTGGACCGCGCAAGTCTTGCACTTTCACAAGTCTCGCACTTATCGCTGCTCGCAGTACTTTAAACCGCTTTGAAAACCGCTTGTAAAACCGCAAACATATCGACCGCTTTCTCATTTGGACTTTCTCTTTGTCTCATCGGCGTCTGAAATTTATGTTACTTTTTTATTGTATTAATCTGTTAAATCGTGTGGTGTTTAAAATAAAAAATCAAAATCAAAAAAAGAATTACGTGTCGTGTGGAGTTTTTTTGTGTCAAGTAACTCTGTTCGCGGCCACCCAGCTGCCGCGTTTTCAAAATCTTGCGCTGTCGCAGCTATCCGCGCTCACTCGCGAACATTTTTGGTCCTTCGAGCCGGATTATATCCGCATCCGCAGTTTCGTGGGTGACGTTTCCAGTGCTGTGCAGTGCTGAAACAGACAAACAAATAAGTGAACAATGAGTGCCGACCTGAAAGTACTGTTAGAGGCTCAAACCGATATCCACGGACGAATGTCTCTTTCTGTGGATAATCTCAGGAAGATGGGGGTCGCAACATCACTCCCGGTGCCATCCAGGCTCGTCTCAGCATCCTCGACAATCTCTGGGGGAAACTCGAGGCCCAGCACGAGATGATTCGAGCAGCGCTAAAGGACAGATACTTGGAGAGTGAGTACGCTAAGTCTGACTTTATCGATTCGGCGGAATACACTTACGTGTCTCAGCGAAGCACGTTGACCGACTACGCAGAAAGTCTAAGGGCAGAATCAGTTACCGCGCCCAAAAGCGAGCCAAGGTCGGAGTCTTCGCCAAAAACCGCGTTGCCGCGTATAAAACTGCCGCCGTTCTCGGGCGCCTATGAAGACTGGCCTTCATTTCGGGATCTCTTCTTGTCTCTCGTGGGAGAAAATTCGTCGATCTCAAATATTGAGCGGTTCCACTATCTTCGCTCCTGCGTCAAAGGATCTGCAGAGAAATTAATTAGATCATTAACTGTCACAAGCGAGAATTACGACCGCGCGTGGGCGATCTTGGCTAAACATTTTGAAAATAAAAGGGAACTCATGCGTTTAAATTTCTCTACCTTCACTGCCGTCGGAAAGATGAAGTCTGAGTCCGCTGAAGAGCTGAGTCGCGTCCATCACGCTGTCACGGCCACCGTCAACGCGCAGGAGAGTATAGGAAGACCCATCCACTCGCATGGGATGGATCTCCTCAATCACCTAGTGATTGAGTTGTTCGACTCGCGAACACGTCTCGAGTGGGAATCTTCCACGAGCGATTCCCTCGACCCGCCAACTCACGAGGCTCTCGTAAACTTCATGAGCAAAAGAATCCTTACCTTAAACGCCGCTAAACCGAAGAACGCCACGAAGAACGCTAGGGAAACCTCACGGTCCGCTAAGTCTCACTTCGTGAGGAACGGGTTCGACGCTTCCAAGTGCGCCGCGTGCAAGGGCAAGCACACACTCATGCAGTGCCCTGAGTTCAAGGCCAAGTCCGCGAGCGAAAGAAAGTCATTCGTCGACACAAGCGGGCTCTGTTTTAATTGCCTCGGAAATCACGTGATGGCGAAATGTCAGTCCGTCAAAACGTGCTTTACTTGCAAATCGCGGCACCACACATTGTTGCATGACGCGTACGCGACACCAACATCGACACAAGAGGCAAGCACTTTTTCAACCACACACACTGCACACGATCACAAGGCGACTCTCCTCGCCACGGCGCGCGTCATCCTCAACGACCGCTCGGGACAACCTCACGACGTGCGAGCTCTGCTCGATCAAGGATCCGAGGTGTCTCTCGTCTCAGAAGATTTAGCTCAGCGCCTGCGGTTGGCGCGCACTCGCTGCTCAATGTCGGTAATTGGTGTTGGAGCACGGTCAGGATCCACCCGCGGAAGGATCACGCTCGCATTAAAGTCAAAGGCGACTGGAGCACCTCTCACTGTAGTCGCCTACGTCCTTCCAAGATTGTCTTCCTACCAGGGGCCAGCAGTTCGGGGCTCCACCACGTGGAGGCACATTCACGGCCTCACTTTGGCGGATCCACACTATCTGCAGCGAGACCCGATTCATCTTCTCCTCGGCGCCGATGTCTTTTCCTCCATCCTTCTCGATGGACTCCGAAAGGGCCGCGAGGACCAACCCGTCGCGCAGAGGACGACATTCGGGTGGATCTTGTCAGGAGGCTGCGGAGTGGTGACATCTAATGGCGTCGTCAGCTCCCTCCAGTGTGCTCTCGACCAAGACCTGAACGATCTGGTTCTAAGATTTTGGGAGCAAGAACGGGAACAGCCTGCTTCCGTCGCCCTCACACCAGATGAAGAACGATGCGAAGAAATCTTCAGTCGCACTCACGAGCGCCAAGAAGACGGGAGGTACCAGGTACGACTGCCGCTGGCTGGCTCTCTGCCACCTCTCACCCATACACGAAAATCCGCCGAGCGACTTTTCGCGGCAATGGAGCGACGTCGTTCCAGAGACGATGACTTCGACATGCTCTACTGCGACTTCCTAGAAGAATATGCAAGATTGAAGCACATGACTTTGGTCAATACACCGCTTGTGAGCAATACACCAGTATGCTACTTACCGCATCACGGCGTACTCCGAACTGCGAGCACAACCACCAGATTAAGGGTTGTCTTCAACGGATCTCAATGCACGCCTGCCGGAGACTCCCTTAATAAGAGTTTGCTGGTCGGAGCTAACCTTCTGCCAACTCTCGCTGATGTCCTGCTTCGCTGGCGTTGGCACCGTTTCGTCTTCGTCGCTGACATCGAGAAGATGTACAGGCAGATTCTCGTGCACCCCGAAGACCGAGACTTGCAGCGGATCCTGTGGAGACGGCAAGGCACCGACAACATCCAGGAATATCGGCTCAACACCGTGACGTACGGATTGGCCTGTGCTCCTTTCCTGGCGATCAGAACTCTTCGCCAATTAGCCGACGACGAAGAGCCCGGAAATCCCAAGGGAGCTGTCGTTTTGCGGCGCGACTGCTACGTTGATGACATCGTCACCGGCGCCAGTACTCTGTTCGAGGCAGTCGAAACGCAGAGGCAGTTACGCCGGCTCTGCATGGCGGGCGGGTTCCCCTTGAGGAAGTGATCCTCAAATCACGAGACCATCCTCGAGGACATCCCAAGGGAGCATCAACTCCAGCAGCCTCATCATGATTGGGAGGACGACGCTCATCCAACGCTGGGCCTGCGATGGCACCCCCGCAGCGACTTCTTCACGTTCCGACTTCAGCCTCGTGCAACTGGATCGCTGACGAAGCGACTGGTCTTGGCAGAGACGGCTCGGATCTTCGACCCTCTAGGTTGGTTAACTCCAGTCGTTGCTCGTGCCAAGATTCTCATTCAGTCAGCCTGGATGAAGCACCTGGATTGAGACTCCCTACTGCCTAAGTCAGATGAGACTTTATGGAGACGCCTCCTTGACGACCTTCCGCTGTTGGAGCAGCTTCGGCTAAAACGATGGCTGAATACTGACGAGCAGCCACAAGTTGAGTTCCACGGGTTTGCTGACGCATCGGAGCGAGGTTACGCAGCAGCCGTCTACCTCCGCGTGGCGGGCTCCTCCGCTTCAATCAGTAGCCTGCTTGCTGCAAAAAGCAAGGTTGCACCCATTAAGCCCGTGTCTCTACCGCGTTTAGAATTGTGCGCCGCAGTGCTAGTCACTAACCTGACTTTCCATCTCCGCAAGACCTTAGGCTTGGTTTCAGCTCCAGTCACTTTATGGTCGGATTCCCGGGTGACTCTCCAATGGATCGAGGGTCATGCCTCCAGGTGGAAGACTTTCGTGGCCAACAGGGTGTCCCACATCCAGACGAAGCTTCCAGAGGCACGATAGCGACACATCCCAGGACGAGTCAACCCTGCCGACTGCGCTTCTCGAGGGATTGAGCCACGGGATCTTCTCAACCACTCCCTATGGTGGACGGGACCCCCATGGCTCGTCGAGGATCCGTCGCTCTGGCCACAGAACGACCACGCCATCCACGACGTCAAGGCGCCGGAGACGAGAGCAATCACCTCTCACTTGACGTCTGCACGGAGGACCGAACCGGAGATGCTCATCAGTTTCTCCGACCTCCATCGCCTCTTGAGAGTCACAGCTTGGTGTTGCCGATGGAGAGGCAACCCACCGAGCTCCAAGGCTCACCTCAACCTCACGGCCGACGAGTTGGAGGCGGCCCTGCTCCGCTTGGTGCAATCTCACCATTTCTCCAAGGAGATCACCGCCCTAAAACAGAATAAAGGGTTAGTCAAGGGTCAGCTAGCGAATTTGACCCCCTTCCTCGACATTCATGGAATCCTTCGAGTTGGGGGCCGGCTGAAGCACGCAGTGCTCTCAGATGATGAGCGCCACCCAATCATCGTACCTTCGGCTTCGTGGCTGACACATCTTCTCGTCAGGGCTCATCACAGACGAACTCTCCACGGCGGGGTCCAGCTCACTCTCGGCCTGCTCCGCCTACGATATTGGATTCCTCGAGGTCGCTCCATCGTCAAGAGGGTCATCCACCGATGCGTAACGTGTGCAAGATGGAAGGCTGTAGTGCCGCAGCCCATGATGAGCGACCTTCCGACGGCGCGAGTCGCTCCAGCACGTCCATTCTTGCGGACTGGAGTTGATTACGCCGGGCCGATCCTGATCCGAACCACCAAGGGGAGAGGACACAAATCGCACAAAGGCTTCATCGCAGTTTTCATCTGCCTCACTACCAAGGCCGTACATCTGGAAGCCGCGTCGGATTATTCCACGGACGCATTCCTCGCTGCATTCTGGCGCTTCACTTCCCGTTGGGGCCTCTGCGAGGAAGTCTACTCGGATTGCGGCACAAATTTTGTCGGCGCAAACCGAGAATTGCGACTCCTGTTCCAGGCGTCGTCATCCGACGGCCGGCGCATCGCCCACACAGCAGCGTCCAACGGAATACGGTGGAGATTTAATCCGCCGGCGGCACCTCACTTCGGCGGGCTTTGGGAGGCAGCGGTGAAATCCACCAAACACCACCTGCAAAGAGTTCTAGGAGACACGACCCTCACCTTCGAGGAGATGTCTACATTCCTCACTCAGGTGGAGGCGTGCCTCAACTCTCGTCCACTTCAGGCGCTGTCCGATGACCACGACGACTTAACGGCGCTCACTCCGGGTCATTTTCTAATCGGGGCTCCTTTGCTGGCAGTGCCCGAACCTTTACTGGCAGACGTCAACGTCAACCTCTTGTCCCGCTGGAAACTTCTCCAACGGATGCGCGACCACTTTTGGGAAAGGTGGTCGCGGGAGTACATCAACTCACTGGCTTCCCGACCAAAGTGGTTGAAGGACACAGCAAGTCCCACCGTCGGCGGACTGTGTCTAGTGCGGTCGGACATCACTCCACCAACCCGATGGCCACTCGCTCGGATCACCAAGCTGCACCCTGGGGACGACGGCGTGACGCGCGTGGTCACTGTATGCACCGCATCTTCGGAGCTTGTCCGGCCTCTCATCAAGATCGTCCTCCTGCCTGGAGCCGACACCGCAGCATCAACGCACCCGGATTCGTGAGCGAAACAGAGCACCGTGTTTTATTTAATTTATTTGTTTTTTTTTCAATAATTTGTCCGTCCACGGAATTGTTTATCACGGCCGTCGTGCATTACCTCCGATAATCGCGCCGCGCGCTATCACATTTATCAATCACATTTTTTATATCACTTCCGAGCCGCTTCATTAACTTTTCTTTCTTCGGACTCCGCGTCAAAATTCAACTTTCACTGCACTCACAAAATCATTCACAGTATCACTTTATATATCTCACAAACACCGCACTACTTATTCTCGCGAAAGAATTATCACAACTGTTTAACACGTGTCTTCTCGTTACGTCACTTCGCATTCCATTCATCACTCATTTCACATCTCTCAATAGCACAGTTCGCGACACCTGTCTGTAACCGCTCACACTCAGAAATTTCGTCACGTACTGACGAGGCGGGCGGGATGTTCAAAATTAAAATGAACATGCGAGTTCAAAAAACGCATATCGAAGTTCGCATCCTTTCGCTAATAAATTACGAGAATTTAAAATTAACGGGCGTCGAGAATCTTCTCGAAATATCTGTTATTAGAAAAAAACTCGAACGCTCGAGTTTTCTCGCTTTTTTGCCACCAGAAAAAACGCTCGTTATTACCGCTGACAATATTATTGTCAACCGCCGTTGAAATTTACGCCGCTCATGGGCATGCGCGCCCATGCGTCACGCCCATCGCCAATCAGCTGATCTAAAAGGATTGCGCGCACAAAAAACAAACGACATCCATCGTGAGACGTCATTAACGACCAATGGCACACGCCGCAACAGTGTCACCGCTAAATTATGAAATTAATTGGTCCACGTCGAAGCGGGCCCAAAAATCCGCTCGCTTTATAATGGGCACCGCGCGTGGACCGCGCAAGTCTTGCACTTTCACAAGTCTCGCACTTATCGCTGCTCGCAGTACTTTAAACCGCTTTGAAAACCGCTTGTAAAACCGCAAACTCGAATATCGACCGCTTTCTCATTTGGACTTTCTCTTTGTCTCATCGGCGTCTGAAATTTATGTTACTTTTTTATTGTATTAATCTGTTAAATCGTGTGGTGTTTAAAATAAAAAATCAAAATCAAAAAAAGAATTACGTGTCGTGTGGAGTTTTTTTTGTGTCAAGTAACTCTGTTCGCGGCCACCCGGCTGCCGCGTTTTCAAAATCTTGCGCTGTCGCAGCTATCCGCGCTCACTCGCGAACACATCATCAAATTAGAAAGCCACTGGTTGAGATACATACATCCTTCTCATAACGTCGAACATATCCGAATCGTACGGAAATAGCCGAAGTTACTTGTTATTTCCCCTTACCGCGTTTATTACCTACCCCGCAGGCTTACGCTCCGTCTATAGTTTCCTAAGTCTATGGGTCGCCCTATCTAGAACAAAAAGGTATGTTTATCAACAGTATATAATATTATATTGTTACGTCCGGTGGACTTCACGATTCTTTTCTTTCATCAAAACGCTATTTTAAAAGTAATCAAAGATAGGCTCTAATTTGAAATGGAATCTAACTCGCGTAAATAAATAGTTAGTCTAAACACTGAGAGTGTCCAGTTGAGATAACACTAAGGAAAATCTAAATAAATTTTTAAATTATGAGACTCGGAAGTATAAGAAATTCGATTCACGGGTATCCATGATTATAACTTGGTTCGTCTCAGAGAGTTTGAACAAGAGCCTTTGGTCCTCGGAAAATTGACCAAAGGGTAAACATTAACAAATCTATGAAATTAATACTGCACGTGCGCTAGTTCGACAGGCCAGTCTCAATCGTCAAATCGTTAGGAGATAAGGAAATCAGCTCCTCGCTCCCACTCTCTACTTGACGGAGCCAAATCTCGAGCAAAAGGACTCAACCAATTAGAACCTGAAGACACTCCTCTCTTGCTGAAAATCTAACTATTTGGTCCTAGGAAGGGAGTAATAGAAATTATTTGATTGACTAAAAAAGATTCCCACCATCCAGAAGGGGGGAGGAGCAAGAACTTTTAAAATCACGAGCCGAAAGCGCGGAGAGACAGTTTTTCAACCAGTTTTTACGTAATCTCAACGTTTTTCCGCTTGACTTTTCCGCTTGCACCAGTTCGCAATATTTATAAATATATAATAAAAAAATATAGAATCAATCAAACAGTGTGAAGTGAGTGAGATCCCTGGGATCCTCCAGACGTTCCAGCAATCAACCACTTGTGGGGATTCCGACTCACCCTCCGGCCTAAAATCTTTTCATTTACCACGCACTCAATTATTAGTAAGTCTCATCTAATTGTTGCTCTCTTTTAAGTTGTCATTGACAAAGATTATTTTGTAATATACTACCTAAATCTATAACAACAATAATTATCTTCATTTCATTTTCATCTTATCAAATCAATCATTTAAATCTTGTTCTCTAGCTTATTTCTTTTCTTTAATCCACCTCCATACCATTCCTTGTTCGTTGAGAATCTCCGCAAGGCGATTCGCGAACATTTCCTTGTTCGTTGAGAATCTCTGCAAGGCGATTCACGAACATTCCTTTGTTCGTTCAGAATCTCCGCAAGGCGATTCACGAACGTTTCCTTATTCGTTGAGAATCTCCGCAAGGCGATTCACGAACATTCCTTTTATGGAGTCGCTAGGTTGAGTGTTCGCTCGATCTTAATCGGAAGAGTATGCGCTACTATCCGCAAGGTTGACGAGGTTTCCACTTAAATCAATTACTCGCAGTATGGATATCTATGTATAGTTTATTTTACACGTTTATTTACAGGGCCCTGAAAAGGACCGTTTGGATGCATGCGTTCGCGATACGATATCCGCGTAGTCGCCTTGGTATATCGGAAAGGTCCGCAGGAGCCGTCGTCGTCGTTATTGTTGACGTCTACCTCTGGTTTACGGCGCTTCGGTGGCTCCGTCTGCGTGGCCGCCGTGCTCGTGGGCGTCTCCCAGTCGGAGTCGGACTGAGTCTCCTGGTTCGCCGTTGATTTCGGCGGCTGCGTCACCTAGACTCCTCGGTGTGTCCGGCTGAATGCGGTGGTCTGCGTCCCCTGGGTTGTCCGGTGGATCGGAGAAGGAGGCAGAGGAGATAGAGCCGCTGGAACTGCCCAGGATGCTGGTGGTAAAGTGTATCGCTGTATCCGGATGTCCCAGGTGGCTAGCAGCTGCCTTGGTGGCCTGGTGAAGCGAGGCGGCTCCAGGTCAATTGGCTGCAGTGTCCACGGCAGCAAGGTGAAGGACACTCTCCTCTCCGGCTCGGCAACTGCACCGTACGACGGTCGAGGAATGCGGCTCGGCTGACGGCGAATGTTTTTGGAAGTTTTACCTTCCAATTCCAAAAGAGGAGTACTCTAGCTGATTGACGTATAGTGTTATTGACCCTATAGTCGGTTCGAGCTGAAACTCGAATTCGGCTTGCCGTGGTCGGCCTTATATACGGGCCCCGCCGGATTTCACTTGCGCGAAGATCGGCGCCTGTATGTTCGCGCTACCGCGCGCGTACTTGTGTGCCTAAGTTGCCGTGCGGCCAGGCGCTCGCCGTTACGCTTATGTGGCATAAGGCAGGACGCCACAGGACCCCCCTGGATGTATTAAGGCCCTGAGTTAATTTAAGCTGGTTTAAATCGGACGGGTTAGCGCACCGCTCGTCCTGATCTGGTCGTTCCTGTCGTCTTAGGGTCTTAGGTTCCTGTGCTCTTGGTGTGCTCCGTGTCTGCCTTGAGCTGCGTGTTGGTGGGAGGCTCTTCAGCCAGAGTGTAGGCTGGTTTTAGTCTATCCACCGCGATGTTGATTGCCTTTCCCTTGATTTTGAGTTTGTAGGTCTTCGTGCCTCTGTTTAACACCTCAAAGGGACCGTCGTAAGGCTGGTGGAGGGCCCCTGCCGGTGCGTCGTGTCGCACGAACACGTGTGAAGCCGTCTCCATGTTTTTAAAAACGAACATTTGTCCGTCTGATTTGGAGCTGTAGTCGTGTCATTGTCCGTCGAAGCCTGGCTATCAAGGTGTCCTCATTCTCGTAGTTATTGTTCTCGTAGTTATTGTTGTGGTCACAGAAGAACTGTCCTGGTAATCGGATTGGTTCTTCGTAAACCATCTCGGCTGGTGTGGACTTCAGATCCTTTTTCCAGGCTGCCCTGATGCCGAGGAGGATGACCGGTAACATCTGGGTCCACGCTTCCGTTTCGTGGCATCTGATGGCTGCCTTCAACTGTCGGTGGAACCTTTCTACCATCCCGTTTGCCTCTGGGTGGTAGGCTGTTGTCCTGATGTGTTTTGTGTCATCTTTGTTAAGCTCTGGAAAAGCTCCGCCTCGAATTGCCGGCCCTGGTCCGTAGTAGTTATTCGAGCTGGTGTGCCGAATCGCGCTATCCAGTCTGAAAAAATATGTTTAGCGACGGTCTCTGCCGTGATGTTCGGTATCAGAATTGCTTCTGCCCACCGCGTGAATCTATCCACGATGGTGAGGCAGTATCTGTGTCCCTCTGACACTGGCAGTGGTCCTACAATGTCTGTGTGTATATGCTGGAACCGTTTTGGTGGTTGTTGGAAAGTTCCTGTTTGTGTGTGATTGTGTCTCGTCACTTTAGTTTTCTGACACTGTATGCATGTTTTTGTCCAGTTCATGCAATCTCGCTGTATTCCTGGCCAGACATATCTTTCTTTGACTAGTTTTGCCGATGCTTTAGTTCTTGGATGGGCCAGTTCATGTAAGTAACGAAAAATTTGTTCTCTTAGACTTTTCGGCACGTATGGTCTAACAATTGGTGTGCTAGTGTCGCACCAAGCCTCTGCTGATCCTGGTATTAAGATGCGTGTCAGCTTAATTTTTTCTTTATCTTTTAGTAGTTCTTCCAACTCTGCATCGTGTTGTTGTTCGTGAGCTATTGTTTCCAACTCTACTGCTGAGTGTATCGTCTCTACTCGTGACAATGCGTCGGCCACTGTGTTGTTGTTCCCTTCGATATATTGGATATCTGTTGTAAATTGTCCAATGTATTCTAAATGTCTTGCTTGTCTAGGCGAACTCTGCAGTGGATCTTTTTTGAAGGCGTAAATTAGTAGTTTGAGGTCAGTGAATATTGTGAATATTCTGCCTTCTAATAAGTGTCGGTAGTGCTTGATGGTGATGTAGATAGCTAGTAGCTCTCTGTCGTACGGACTGTACTTCGTTTGTGCTGTATTAAACTTTTTGCTCAGGAATACCAGGCTGCCATTCATTAGTGGTTCTTTGCTGGATTACGGCACCCATGGCCGTGTCTGAAGCGTCTGTTGTTACTGCCGATTTAGCTGCTGGGTCTGGGTGAGCTAATAGCGTGATACTCGACAAGCTTTCCTTGCACTGGTCGAAGGCTTGTGCTTGCTCTAGCCCCCAACTTATCGATGTAGTTCCCTTGATTTTAGGTCCTTTAAGCACGTCGTTTAATGTGGCTTGTTCTTCGGCTGCTCTCGGGATGAACCTTCGATAAAAATTAATCATTCCTAGGAATTGCTGTAACTGTTTAATCGTAGTCGGCCGAGGGAAATTTTTGATCGCCTCTATCTTCTCTGGCAGTGGTTAGGTTCCTTTCTCCGTGACCAAATGACCAAGGAACTTCACTTCGTCTGCTCCAAAGATGCACTTGGCGGGGTTGATTCTGACCCTGTATTCGTCGAGTCGAGTGAATAATTGGTTCAGGTGGATTTTATGTTGTTCTTTACTTGATGATGCCACCAGTATATCATCGATATACGCGTAGCAGAAATCTAATCCGTGCAAAACCTCGTTGATGAACCGTTGGAACGTCTGCGCTGCGTTGCGTAATCCAAACGGCATGTATCTGAATTCGAACAGTCCGAACGGTGTGGTTATCGCTGTCTTCGGTATATCTTCTTCTCGCACTGGGATTTGATTATAAGCTCTGACCAGGTCAATCGTGGTGAAGATCTTTTTCTGGTAGAGCGTTTGTGCAAAATCCTCGATGTGTGGTATTGGATATTGATCGGGTATTGTTCTGGCGTTCAATCTCCTGTAGTCTCCACATGGACGCCAAGTCTTGTCCTTTTTCGGTACTATGTGAAGTGGCGACGACCAAGCACTTTTTGAGGGCTGCATGATGCCTTCTTATACGGGTAAGTCGAATTCCATCTTGGCTGCGTGCAGTTTGTCTGGCGCTAGTCTTCGTGATCTGCTAGCTTCTGGAGGACCTGACGTTGTCTGGATATGATGTTGCGTTCCGTGTGTTATCACCTCTTTTGTTCTGGTTGGTTTGGTGATGTCGGGAAACTTCGCCAATAGTGTGTGGAATTCGCTTTTTTCCACCGTTGTTTTGATTGATAAGATCGAATTGTAACATCTGGCGCCTGTGGCTGCTAGGCCTGTCTTGCCGTCTATGAGTTTTCCTCTTTTCATATCCGGAAGCAGGTCGTAATGTGCCAGCAAGTCTGCTCCGATTATAGGCTGTCCTACGTCGGCTATCACGAATCTCCACGGGAACGCTCTTCTTAAGTTGAAATCAGGGTTAATGGTGATGGAGCCGTACGTAATGATAGGTGTGCCGTTCGCCGCGAAGAGTTCGTACGCCTCTGGTCGTCTCTTGCCGTTTCCTGTTGTTTGTGGGAAGACGCTGACGTCTGAGCAGGTGTCCACTAAGTACTTTGTCCTTGTGTTCCGGTCTGTCACGCATAAGCGGCAATGTGTCGGGTTTTTATCATTGGCCGCTAACAATGAGTGCCCTACTCGTTTTTCTGGAATGTCATGACTGAGCACATCGGCGAGCTTCTGCACCGAATCGTCGGTGGTAGTAACAAAGTCCTTCTTTGACTGGTGTTCTACTGCAAGTTCTGCCTCGTGACCGACTTCGTGCTCGGCTGCGTCCTCTCCGCAGCTCTTTGGCCATGTTTGTAAGTTGTTCGGTGAGAGTTGCCACCTGAAGGGTGAGCGCTTCCATCTGCGTAGTTAGTGTATTCTGGCTGGTTGCTGCTGCTGCCGTTGGCCGATGATCTGCGGCAAGAACGAGAGCTCTACTGTCGACCTCATGGATCCGCCTGCTCTGCCACGTCTTGCAGCTTGTCGCCTTTCCTCGTTGTGAGGATTGCTTGGGTCTGCGGCGGAAGATGTCCTAACCAAAGCGTCCGTAATAAGTCGTCGGAGACTGTCGTTCCTGCCAGCGTTGATAGGTGTCGGAGAAACTGCGAAGGCTTTCTGTCTCCAAGCTCCTCTCTTTCCAGAAGCTGCTTTATCCGCTGCTCTTGCGAATCTGTCAGCTGTTGAATCAGCGCGCGCTTTATAGCTGAATATTTGTTGCTGGAGGGGAGATTGGTGATTACGTCTTTGATTTCCCTCGTTTGTCGTGGCTCTAGTTTTGACAAAGGGTTGCCATATCTGACGTCATAATCGGTGATGACGCCTAGTGTGAACTGCCCTTCCAGTTGCGCAAACCAAAGCTCCGGATCTTCTGGCCAGAAAGGCGGGATGCGCACCGCGACTCTATTGACGGTCTCGTCGTCTTCCACTATGATGGTACTCTCCTTCTTCGGCATGGTCGTACCTCTTCCTACGTCGATGGGTCACCAGTTTATGGCGTCGTTAGGTTGCGTGTCCGCTCGATTTTAGTCGGAAGAGTATGCGCTACTGGCCGCAAGGTTGACAAGGTTTCCGCTTAAATCAATTACTCACAGTATGGATATCTATGTACAGTTTATTTTACACGTTTATTTACAGGGCCCTGAAAAGAGCCGTTTGGATGAACGCGTTCGCGATACGATATCCGCGGAGTCGCCTTGGTATATCGGAAAGGTCTCCAGAAGCCGTCGTCGTCATTATTGTTGACGTCCACCTCTGGTTTACGGCGCTTCGGTGGCTCCGTCTGCGTGGCCGCCGTGCTCGTGGGCGTCTCCCAGTCGGAGTCGGACTGGGTCTCCTTGTCCGCCGTTGATTTCGGCGGCTGCGTCACCTGGACTCCTCGGTGTGTCCGGCTGACTGCGGTGGTCTGCGTCCCCTGGGTTGTCCGGTGAATCGGAGAAGGAGGCAGAGGAGATAGAGCCGCTGGAACTGCCCAGAATGCTGGTGGTAAAGTGTATCGCCGTATCCGGATGTCCCAGGTGGCTAGCAGCTCCTTTGGTAGCTTGGTGAAGCGAGGCGGCTCCAGGTCGATTAGCTGCAGTGTCCACGGCAGCAAGGTGAAGGACACTCCTCTCCGGCTCGGTAGCTGCACCGTACGACGGTCGAAGTGGCCCGGGTGATCGGGGCGTCGACGCTGGTCGAGGAATGCGGCTCGGCTGGCGGCGAATGTTTCCGGATTTCACTTGCGCGAAGATCGGCGCCTGTATGCTCGCGCTATCGCGCGCGTACTTGTGTGCCTAGGTTGCCGTGCGGCCAAGCGCTCGGCGTTATACGCCGTTACGCTTGTCAGGGGTCGATTTTCGCGTGATTCGGAGTAGTATAACAAGGAGAGTTCTAATCCAGGACCTCTCAGGGGGGTGAGGCGCGAGGGGGAACCGCGGTGCGGGGGGGAGTGACGTCACGCGCGGGGAAGGAGGAACCGCGGCGCGCGGTGGGTGACGTCACCCGCGGGGAAGGGGGATCCGCGGCGCGAGAGATGGACGAGGGGGTCCGCGCAGTGAAGGGGGATCCGCGGCGCGAGCGATGGACGAGGGGGTCCGCGAGGTGAAGGGGGATCCGCGGCGCGAGAGATGGACGAGGGGGTCCGCGCAGTGAAGGGGGATCCGCGGCGCGAGCGATAGGCGAGGGGGTCCGCGAGGTGAAGGGGGATCCGCGGCGCGACCGATGGACGAGGGGGTCCGCGCGGTGAAGCGGCGCGAGTAATGGACGAGGGGGTCCGCGCGGTGAAGGGGGAACCGCGGCGCGACCGATGGGCGAGGGGGTCCGCGCGGTGAAGGGGGATTAGCGGAAAGAAGACGGTGGTGTGAGAAGGACGGCGCTACGTATGGGAAAAGGACAGTGCAAAGTGTGTGAAGAGGACAGTGCTACGAGTGCGACAAGGATGGCGTTAACGTGGAACAAGGACGACGCAAAGGTAAGTGAACAACGAGTATATGAAAGAGAGAGAGTGATAATATCGAGAATAACAACGCGTGCGAGAGAGAACGATAGCGCAAGAACAACGCGAGTGAGAGAGAACACATATGAAAGAGAGAACGATAGCGCCAAGACGACATGTACAAGAGAGAGAACGATAATATCGCGAGACTTACAACTAATGAGTATGATAAAGATAGCGATACTTAAAACTAGCGCAAGAGAGACGCAGGGACGGGGACGCATGGAGAGGCGCGTAAATAATTATATTTTTTAAAAATTAAAATATAAAATTTATTAAAATGTGTGTTTTTATACATTTTGTGTGTGTGTGTGTGTATGTGCTTAAATTATAATTAATAATAATATAATATAATAATATAATATAATAATAATAATATAATAAAATAATATAATAATAATAATAATAATAATAATAATTTGGGGGCGCGGGGGGGGGTGGAGGGGTCAGGGGAGCCAGGTGAGGGGGCCGCTCCTGTAACAGAAAAAATATATATATATATATATAAAGTTATAATAAAATTTATAAAAATACTTACATCTGTGCTCCCCATTCTGTGCACCATTGGGTGCCCGAATCTCCCCGGGCACCCAAATCTCCTCCTCCATGTAGGGCTCTTCCCCGAAGAGCCGCCGAAGGTCAAAAATGTCCTCATCATTCGGGGGACTCTCCGGAGCGTCACCCCACATATAGGAGAGATCATAGCGTCTCCCCCGCCGCTCCGCCCGCACCCATTGCCGGTTCTCTATATTCATAAATCCCGGTATCCGGACTTCAGATAGGGACTAGAAAATATAAAAATATAAGTATTATGCACAATAGATGTACAATTTTTTATAAATTATTCACAAAATCAATACTCACATTCCAATCGAAGGCCAGCTTCATCAAGATGACACAGAGCAAGTCTCCGAAGGCCTGCTTCCATCCGGCGCAGTTTTCCAATAGATATTCCATTTTATTTGTTTTTTACTTCTTAACTCACGCATCAGTTAGAACTTTCTGAGGAGGCAACGAGGTCTCGACACGGGATTTTATAGTAGAGATGCCACATTATCACCATGTCAAAAATGCGTCGTAAGACAAAAGTACGCGCGGTCCCACGCAACTCAGCGCGGTATAATATAATATAATATAATATCACGACTTTGCGAACAGATAAACGGTGGACGTATCATTATCACTACCAAAAACGCGTCGTAAGACAAAAGTATGCATGTTCCCATGCAAATTAACACGATATAATGTGTCAACCCCGATCAAATGGTAATTGAACGGAAACGAACGTCCATCGAACAGAATTGAACGCTCGCCAAACGGTCATCGAACGCTCGTCAAACGGTCATTGAACGCTCTTCGAACGGAAATGAACGGTAATTGAACGCTTTTCGAACGGAATTGAACGCTCATCGAACGCTCGCCAAACGGTCATCGAACGCTCGTCAAACGGTCATTGAACGCTCTTCGAACGGAAATGAACGATAATTGAACGGTCATTGAACGCTCTTCGAACGGAAACGAACGGTAATTGAACGCTCATCGAACGCTCGCCAAACGGTCATCGAACGCTCGTCAAACGGTCATTGAACGCTCTTCGAACGGAAATGAACGGTAATTGAACGCTTTTCGAACGGAAATGAACGCTCTTTGAACGGAAACGAACGGTAATTGAACGCTTTTCGAACGGAAATGAACGCTCTTCGAACGGAAACGAACGGTAATTGAACGCTTTTCGAACGGAAATGAACGGTAATTGAACGCTTTTCGAACGGAAACGAACGCTCTTCGAACGGAAACGAACGGTAATTGAACGCTCTTCGAACGGAAATGAACGGTAATTGAACGGTCATCGAACGGAAATGAACGCTCATCGAACGCTCGTCAAACGGTCATTGAACGCTCTTCGAACGGAAATGAACGGTAATTGAACGGTCATCGAACGGAAATGAACGGTAATTGAACGCTTTTCGAACGGAAATGAACGCTCATCGAACGCTCGTCAAACGGTCATTGAACGCTCTTCGAACGGAAATGAACGGTAATTGAACGGTCATCGAACGGAAATGAACGGTAATTGAGCGGTCATTAAACGGAAACGAACGGTAATTGAACGCAAACTATATTCACCTATCAAACAAATATTACAATGTATTACAATGTATCACAATGTACTATTGAAATACAATATCTGTGGCAGCTGTGTCACGTATGGAAACATGATACTGCGCACACGCATAGATAGGGATGAGGAAAAAAAGAAGAAAATAAGAAAGACGATAAAAATATATCACATCATCAATTTATTATAAGTATGGATTCGAAGAATCATGATGTTTCAACCACCAATTATAAATTTTAAATATATTTTGTAAAGCGCAATTTTTTACATGATTTTCACAACGCATAGTATTCTTAACATCTAACTTATTTAAAGAAGCTACATCCTCGTAGTCTGCATCCAAAGTTTCGATAATCACATAGTTTCTCGCATCATCGTCCAGTATATCAGCCAACCATTGCCATTTTTCATGGCCTTTAACGTACACGAGAGGTGACGCATCATCCTCCTCCGTTGCACCCATCACCGCCGTCGTGATTAAACGTTTCGAATTCCAATATGAAACGTGTCCATCATTCCACGATAATCCATGGTGGTTTTTAATCAGCCATAAAACTTGGCATCTCTCAGATTTTGTGAGCATGTACCATGGTACCGGGCATGTAAAAATGTAATGAGAAAGTACGGATCCATTTCTCAAAACCGCAGCTTCCTTCACGACAAAATTTTTCCCAACGATAAATCCTTGCAGATCCACAAACGTTGGCGCAGCCATGATGATAAGATCCGATCGCAGACTGATGTCGATCGTCAAACATCTCAATCTTTTATATTTTTCTTCATATGCAATGGAGGGGATATTTGCTGACCTATGTAATTTTGCGGACTACATTAGTCAATGGATTATATTCGACAACCCGATCGTGCAAGATGAGACAATAGGCGGTAGTATTCGCAGGTATATTTTCCCTGCACTCAAACTATTCTCACATCCACGGTAGCAGTTTTGACAGACTCGTTTTGTCGCGAGCAATCAATGACCGCTAGAGGACCGCAATGTAGAAATTTTGGAATGGTTAATAGCGCGGTGCTATTATCGCATCCGTAATACGATTTGCGAAAACGAGAGTACATGCCGAATAGGACGGCGAATCTATTTTTTTCAAAATCTAAATTTAAATCATCGTAGGGATAAAATTCCGAATTTAAATAGAGTTTAACGTTGGTCAATTTGCAGTTATCGAACAATGTAACATCTTGTGACACCGAATTCTTTTTACCAGTTTGTAGTGCAAAGATCACGTATCGCGGTTTCTCTAGCTGGGAGGCGGCTTTCACGGTCCACGAATGTTTGGTCGTGCTATGTAACAGAGGAAATTCGTATAAATCCCATGATCGGAAACTCATGTTCAAATATCGTC